TGTAAGTGTTGCTTACAAAAAGGTTTTCAGAGATTTTCCCAAGTCTGCTATTTCTTTAAAAATAACCAGCTTAAAATAATTAATATGCCCTAGAGACATATCTTGGATCTGCTCCCCTACACCATTCTCTGAATTACTAGTTCATGGAGTTGGGATATAAAATTAGTTTTTCTCTGCAGAAGTTATTTGAGGGAATAGAGGTGAGGGTGGAAGGCTTTGGTCTTTTAATGCTCTAGGTTTCACTTGAATAGTAAGGGAAATGAAGGGAATGAACATGTTGAGTGCTTGCTACATTGCAGGCATATGCTGGGTGCTTTAATACTGTGCTTCACAAACTATCTGAGATTTTATTTTTATTCCCAATAAGGCATGGACCAAAATATTTGTATACTTCATTTGGACATTGCAGCAATGTCAAAATGCTGTAAACATTTCTAAATGCTTCGATCAATTTCTGTGCATATTGCATCACCGATCAGCAACAGTCCATTGACCATACTGAGAGCACGTTATCTCCCTTATTCCTGATAGCCAGCTCAACCAGATTTCAGGCGTTAAGTGTTGGACATGGAGAAGAACAGGCATAACACAGCCTCCACGTCCAGGAAGGTGGACACCACGGAGGGGATGTAGTCAGATTTTTGTTTTATGACTAGCTGTATGAGGAGAGAACATGTTAAAGGCAAAAATAACCACTTCAGAATGATGGGTTGATGTTGTTTAATTCTAAAAGGCAGAGAAAGCAGTGAGTCAGCATCGAGTTTAAACATTAATCAGAGTACTTTGAAGGTATTTCTTGAGTTTTTGCTCTGTGAGGAAATGTATTATACGTGATGTCAAAAGAATTGCTTTGAATCTGTAATAATATTTTAAAAGTAAGATAATTCTATATTTGTAATACAACACATTCAGAATGTCCCCTCCTTCCATATACACTTTACTGTGAAGATTTTTGGGTGAGGAGGAGGAAGGAATTGTAGAAAGAGGGGATGTGAACACACAGCAGCCTGAATGGTCCTGGGCGTCAGGTCCCTCTCCCTGGTTAGCTTTGCTACCAGCAGGTAGACCTATCTGCTTATAGGATTAAATTAAAAGATCCTGATAG